GATATTGAAGCACTAAATAAAAAGATACTTTTTCTTCCTCATCCCACCTTCTTTGTTCCCCTTAATGCAATGACTAAAATATCTTTTTTTATACAAAAATAATCTTACTACGCACCTAGGATGAAAATGAAACTTTTGGATATGAGGAAATTTATTAAAAAAATCAAATGTTAGCAAAAATGAATAATCTTAGTAATAGTTTGAACACAATGTGACATGGAAGATAATAATGGTTAAGTATGAACCCAGATTTGAGTGTAAATCCCCTCAAATAGTACATTAAGCTTTTGRGAAACTGACATAAAGATACGTCAAAATGATGAAAAATGATACTCAATAATTACAAGAATGCTATTAGCAATTCTTCCATACAAAAGTACATGCATAGCCCACCCATAACATATACTTGGACACTGGAGTAGCGGCTATAGGCACGATGGATGATACTTGGTGGCACGATGAAGAGAACACTTGTGACATTAAGGCTCAGTTTGGAAAGAGTACAAATACAAATTTATAGAGTGGAAAACCTTATATTTTGTATGTATTTTCATGTACATATTTGTATTTGTACTTTTTTCAAACTGAGCCTAAGTTTAAAAAATAAAAATACTATAACTTACCATTTGTTCTCTTCCACACATGTGAATATGGTGCCCATGTGAACACATGACATATTCATTTCTGACTAGAAATGCACCCCCACCCGTGACATTTCGAGTGCAAGAGATATGGACTCGGTATGTGTATATAATGGGTTGACACCAATCCCATTCCACCATTCCCATTTGAAACTGTGATTATATATTGAACATATCATATCAGTATTTTAAATGGAAATGGGGTGGGGTAGGGATGGAGAGCCATTCCCCATCCTCGTCCCCGCAAAAATCCCTATCCCCATTCCCATTCCGAGGACCATCTTTGTGAGGATTCCTGTTCTTCGTGATTTTTTTATAATGTCAATCATTTTATTTTTGTTTTATATTTCATTTAAAAAATAAAAATAAAATAGTTAAAATTTATAATCCTATTAAAAATTATCCAAATATATTCAAATACATACATACATAAGTGGAAATTTCCACAAGGGAGGGATTGGGGGCCCTATGGGTTGAGGAATACTCTCCCCATTCCCATCCCCTGCCCCATTCGGGGTGAGTCCCCACAAGAGTCGGGGAAATGCAAAAATTGCCATCCCCATGTGTGTGTGGCAAAAGAGGTGTCTATTTAAAAGTTGACTTAGGAAAACAAAAAGAATGTCATTGCCTTCTGAATAAATTAATTATTATTCATACAACCAAATGTATGTCACACACTAAATTCAATTTTTGTTCACCAAAATCTAATAGAAGTTGCTTAATTTGGATAAGAGGTAAGGGTATGAAAAGTGCTAAATGGTTAGTTGGTAAGGTTTTTTGTTGGTTATAGCGGAGATTTGGGTCAAATCCTGTTTGCATTAGTTTTTTTTTTTGCATAATCCGATAAGAATCTACTAACAAAAGGGATTTTTGGGTCTAACAACCCTTGAACTTTGCGAATAGGTCAATTTCGACTCTAAGGCTGTGTTCGGTTGCAATGCAAATGATTTGAGTGTAAATCTTGACCTATTTTTGTTTCAAAATTTAATTTATTTTTGTTTGATTACAGTACAAATGAAGTAAATTAACACATAGAGTAGAATAAAGTAAAACCCAGAATAAAATTAAATGAGAATTTACATTTTTTCATTTCCACTCCTATGCATTTGTACTAGTGCAAATAAATTTCTACTACAACCAAACATAGCCTAAAGAATTTAAAAGGCCATTTTAGATCTCAAACTCACTTAAAAATGCCTACATTATCCAAAAACACATGGTGTTGGTGACACTGTTAAATTCAAGAAATTGAAAAATTACAAGTGGGTCCCATTGAATAAAATAAAAACTATTTAATGTATAAATCAATAAATGTTGAAAATAACATATAGGTAGGTCCCACTTAAAAAATAATCTTTTAAGAGAAAATAATAGGTGGATTCTACTTAAAATTATATGTGAGACACTTGAAATTTCCTCTTTTAAAAGAAAAATAATATATAAGTTTCACTTAAAATTTTATTTTTTAAGAGAAAAATAATAGATGAGTCTCACTTGAAATTATAGGTGGATCCCCTTAACAAAAAGATGAGCCAAAGAATTGAATACAAGCAAGAGGTTGTCCCACTTAACCATGTCCACATCACAGGACTTTGTTAATTAAATTAAGGCCCCGTTTGGTTAATGGGAAAAGGGGTCTAGAATCGGAATTGGAATGGGTTATTTTGATTCCATCTGTTTGGTTGGGCGGAATCGGAATTCCATTCCCATTCCTACTGGAATGACACTCTCCCATTTGAGGGAATGGTCATTCTCTACCCCTTCCTTGGGAATGAAATCCCATTCCTACTGATTTTAATTCTCATTCCCATTCTTGTCTGAAACAAACAGATTATGAGAATGAACCATTCCAATTTTGATTCCGATTCTAACTATAAACCAAACGGACCCTAAATTTTAACTTAATTCAAACAAAATTAACAACAAAATCCAAAAAGTCCATAATGTTCTTAGCATCAAACAAAATTAAAACTTTCTTCTAACTCTTTCATCTATGCTGATTCTAGAGCTTTGAGCACCGCCAACAATTCAACATTCACATCATTTCTAACCAAAAAAACTGTCTACTACCTACCCAAAAACAGCAAAATAGGACTTGGAGGTATTATAGATACAAATACCATAAGATAGTGCACCTCCACTAATAAGTAATAACCCTTCCATCACATTTTATAATAACGTAAAACAAGTTTTTGAAGGCAAATTGCAACAGTTAGAAATGTTCATCAAATCCTCTGTCATTTGCCAATATTGTAAATCATAATTTAATATATTAATCTCAACAAAAGATTCTCTTAATAGATTCTACAACCCAATGAACAGACTTGCACAATTCCTTTCAGCATCACACTCTCTATACAAACGAGTAACACTCAAAATAGAACAACAAAAAATCAACAAAAGAAAAAGTTAGAATCATGAATTCTGATGCCCCATAGAAAAGAAGAAAAAAAAAAAAGAACAAAAGCATAAGAGATGAAGTAATGTTTCCTCTTGCATATTAAACAACAACGAGAACGGCCCACATCAAAACCAAAATTTGCCAATCTGACCGTAGTATAGGCAAAATTTCTGACCCAAAGTAATAGTTTGTACTTGGGGTAGGGGGGACCTTCAAATTCCTTTTTTTTTTCTTGATGAGCTGTAACTTTCTCTCCTCAAACCTCAAACTAGAATTCATCCAAAGTTGATAGTAACAGCTCTTAATCAAGGTTTTTAAAACCGATTGGAGAATGAACCGATCAGGGGTCCAGTTCCTGGGTCAAACGGTTGGCCCGTTTTGACAAAAAAAAAAAAAAGAAAAATGGTCAAAACCATTAAACGGTTCAATCGCCCGAGTCAATGGTTTACTGACCAAATCAATGTTTTTTCTGCAAATATCCAATTTTAGAAGAAGATGAAACCGATCACATAACTGATTCCCAGTTTTTCTAATCCTGGAGTAGTTAATTTGTCTCAACTGGCCCACCTCATTCCTAACTTATTACATGATCCCCTCCACCCAAAATTCTAGGTAGGAAGCCTTCCACTAAGCTAATCTACCCTTCAACTTTCATATGACAAACTCTAAAGATTCATGCTTTCTTTTCCTTTATAAGAGCGGGACTCCCAGAGATATTTACAATCCAGGTGAGGAGGGGACATCTTCATTTGATGCCTTAACGGTTATTGTCCTTTAGCAGGAGATATTCCTAATTCACATCTCAACTGTGTATTAGGAATATCTCCCAATGATAAGCATAAAAGACGCACATGTGACAAGCACATTTGGATTAATTTTATTAAACATTTCATTGCAATTACAAAGAGATACAGAAAAAAAGAATCCCATCCTTAGAGTCTCCAAACTGACCTTTAAGAGCCCCGTTAAAAAATACCGAAAAATTCATTGACCTAATACAACTTTTAATCATTTCACATCAGTTTTGGCTAAAACCTAATTCCTTCAACGCCCAAAATAAACAATCCCATTTTGAAGTGTTATGGGCTTTTAAAAATTAAAATATATAGTTTAGGTATCATATAGCCCCCACCAAATCATTTATTTTTAATAAAGTGCAACGATTCTTTTGTAATTACGATATTATCATGAATTTGTCTATTATAGGATAAAGTTATTTTGAAATGATGAAATACGTAGAAGTTAGAAAAAAGGTTCAAAATATTGATACGTTCAATCATCGAGTGAATCGGTACAGTTTTTAAGTGGTTTTTTTATTTTTATTTTTTGTAATTAGTTCAGAGGAACTGGTTTAAGTCTCCTCTACACCCTGAATCATTCAGACCCCCGATACACCTATTATAGAAGCATATCAGAGGAGTCCCGGAATGATATATCGACCGATACATATCGATACTTTGAACCTTGGTTAAAACCCCATCAAACCCCCCACAACTTAGTGCCAGATAGGAACCGGGGTGTATGCACAAGAGTGAAATGGTAAAATTGTCAATTTAGATAAACAGCAGGAGAATGGTCGTTACTGTGGATCTATTTCATCAATTATTTTAGTAATGGCTTTAACACTAAATGCAATATTAATTATTATTTCAAGTTTTTTAATGTAAAATAAATGTATAAGATAATTTAAAATTATATTTTTATTTTAATTTTAGGATATGCCATTGGAAGTTGGAAGTGAATGGTCGAACCGTTGGACGCGAGATGCCGGTCATGGTTCTTTTTCTTCTTTTTCTTCTACTTATATATTCTTCGTCAATCGTCATCCATGTTGTTTTTCGGGAAAAAAATTTCCTTTTAAATAAACGAGTAGGGGAGTTGGTATTCATTAGAAGAAAACGGGGTGGGCAGTTTGGTCAACGTAGAAGTTAAATGGCAAGGACAGAGAGAGAGAGATAGAGAGAGAGAGAGCATAAAAGAGCATACTGTCTTCGGTCTCTCGCTCTCTGTGTTCTCTCTCCACAGCCTTCCGTTTTCCTAGGTACCTCGTGTGATTTCTGATAGAAACTTTTTGGCCCGCTTTGCTTTGGGCCGAAAACGGAAAAAACCCTAATCGACAAACCAGATGGTTGGTTTTGGAGTGGATGGAGATGGAAAATGAAACCCTAACGACCTCCACAGCTGAAGAACAGCTGTCCTTGTTCTATCGGTAAACCTCCACTTTCCTTTATTTGCAATCTTCTCTTTTTATTCGTTCTTTTTTTCCAGCTCAGTCTCTCCCGATTCTAGTTGCATGTTGCCATTTTTGGTTATCACTTTTGCCTCTATTTTACAATCGTCGGTGGTTTCTTTTCCCATGTTTTATTCATGTCTGTTACTGTACATGCTGTGTTGGTTCTCTCTCTCTCTCTCTCTCTCTCTCTTTTTAACTTCGTTTGTCTTGGTTTGTAGTTCTGATTGGGGATTCTAGCTTTTTGGATATTAATGAGCATTTATGACTAACTGCTGATGAAATGCTTTGCCTTGAGCATATTTGGACTTCGTACCGGGATTTTATCGAGTAGCTCTACTCGTCTCACTTGAAGAAATGCCTAGTATTATTTTTTTTTTCAGTTATTGCTGGGGGAACTTGATCATTTGTGTTCTGGCTCCAGTAACTTGAGACTGCACATTAGTAGTTAATAAGGGCATTAAAAGCATCCATTTTTAGGACCAGCGGGCGTTATCTCGTTTATTTTCTCAATTTCCATAAATTTCATCTTATATTATGAAAGCGGAATGGACGTTATAATTAACGCAACTTAAATTACTAATTAGAGATTGGGATTACTGTGTTGGTGATGGGGAAATTTAAGATGATTTACGCATAGAGTTCTCCCCCCACCTCTTTTCGGGCACAGGAGAATAGTTTTTTCAAAGAAAATGAAAAAAAAAAGGCTTGGACATAGTCATTCAATGCAACGAGGGGGTTTACTTTTTCTTTTCTTGACATTTCCTACCATCACTTGTTAGTTTTTATACACTGTTTATTTTCCCATCTATTGCAATTTTCTAATATTACTCTAATGTGTAGCATGTAGATGCACTGACGACTCAGGCTTGTTAGGATCACCTACATTCTTCTAGATCATCTTTTGTCATTTCAGGGAGGTTCTTTGCAGTTATTAGCATTTCTATTTGTCCCTTGGTAGAAGGAACAAGTTATTTGAAACTTATCCACTTCTCTTAGAAATGATTTCACTAATGCGATTCTTGTCCTTTTTTTGTTAATCCAGGAGGTTACTTCGTCCATTCAGAGGATTCCATCTTATTCTGATTCTTTCTTGTATCATTTTTGACCTGGTCATTTGTATGCCATGTCCTACAAGGGACCATATAATGTCACCAGTGAGTGTGGCTTTGGAGTACAAATCATGTGAACCTTGTGAAGATGATCATGATGTCCGTCTACAAGATATATTTATTACTGATGTTAGCTCAACCCATGCTCAGAGAATTACACCAACCTACATGGGTCTTAAGACCGCTTGTGCCAATGCTGAGTTCTTTTGTTTTCCTTCTACATTGCCTGGTTTTTTGTCTGAAGAAGACAACTTGGAATTCTCAAAGATCCAGGGTGATGTTTCATTACATGGCAGAACATTTTCAAGTGGAATGTTGGACAGTAGCGCAAGCCATAATTTAGACAATGGAAGATTTAAGTTATTAAATGGTAGAATTGTTTCCTGTTCTTTGAACTCTGGAAAGGAACATTCTGACATATCATACCCTCAAAATAATAATGTTGATCGGAACCATCTTGCTTCCTGTAAGGGCCATAGGTTAATCTCTAGCACAGACAAGAGCTTGGAGGCAATTAAAAGATCGGATGCTTTTGTTCGTTCTTCATCACCTCGAGTGGAAATAAATCCTCCTTCACTAGATTGGGGACAAAAGTATTTATATTTTCCTTCATTAGCTTTTTTGACAGTTGCCAATACATTCAACGACGGTGTCTTACATGTCTACGAACCATTCAGTACTGACACACAATTCTATCCTTGTGATTTTGATGAATTGTTGCTTGGACCTGGAGAAGCTGCTACAATTTGTTTTGTTTTCTTACCAAGATGGTTGGGTTTGACTTCAGCTCACTTAGTAATACAGACAAGCTTTGGGGGTTTCTTGGTTCATGCTAAAGGTTTTGCTGTTGAGTCTCCCTACAACATACAACATCTGGTAGGCCTAGATATTTCTTCTGGTGAAAAATATAGACAGAACTTGTCTTTGTATAATCCTTTTGATAATACCCTAAATGTGGAGGAAGTGGTTGCATGGATTTCAGTCTCATCAGGGAATACATCCTACTCTGCAGAGGCTTCTTGTAAACTGGAGAGTTCTGGGGCTTCTGATGAGTTGAATTCTTTTCTGAATGTTAAGGAATTGTTGGAGATTAAGAATGGTCAAGCTGGTCTGCTACAGGTGGGAATTAGGCCTCGTGACAAATGGGAGATTGATCCTCAAAGCACTGAAGCTATCATGGAGATAGATTTCTCATCCACCATAGAAGGAAAAATTTTTGGTGCTCTTTGTTTGCAGCTGCAGGGTTCTTCAATGGATAGGATTGATACACTGATTGTTCCTATTGAATCCGAAGTGCATGGGAAAGCTGCATATAGTGGACTTACAGGTTTGGTTTCAATGTTTCTTGAGGCTCTTGTGCCATGTGATTCCTCAGAAGCAATTGATGTTGCTCTCTCTTTCAGAAATGGGGCTCCAGATATGTTAAGGATTGTCGGTATTAGTGAGGTTTCAGAAAGTGTGAATCTTTTTAAGATCAAATACATGGAGGGATTAATACTCTTCCCTGGCACTGTTACAAAAATTGCAGTGGTCACTTATAATCCACCTACTGATCCTCCTCCTGATATATCCAATATGTATTTGGATTGTAAATTACTTATAGTTACAAACAGTTCAGTTAGTCCACAGATTGAGATTCCCTGCCAAGATGTAGTTCACACATGTTTGAGACATCAGTCAGTTTCATACACTGAGTGTGAACTTTATCCCGAGAAGGAACAACCTGCCTATGAAAGAGCGGGGGATTTAGGAGGCAGCATTCCATCTCCATCACAGGTAGATTATGCGGATTTGATTGAATTCTGCAACATAAATGTTTTTGTTTCCATTTAGTTTTGAAATTGCTACATCAGTGAAAAAAAGGAAAAAAGAAAACATGTTCTTGAACTGTGTTTTTGTTTGAAGAAGCAAAAACAAGTTGGTTTTGTTTCAAAGAACAATTCATGTTTTTGAAACCATCAAAATGGTGTTTTTAAAACAAAAAGAATATTGGAGTACAGTTATTGTATGATTTATGAAAGATGATGGGATATATTATGTTTGTCAAACTAGAAATTCAAGAACATGTCTTTGAGTTCATCTTTAGAAACAGACACATTAACAACCAAGAACATGTTTTCCATGTTTTTGTTTTAAGAAACAATTTGTTTCCAAACCAGATGGTTATATTTATTTATTTTTTCAGAACTCACAATAAGAAAAACTTTTCACATTGAAGGACACGACCAAAGTTCAAGGGTAGTTGTTGAGTGACAAATGGAAGGCATTTTAATGCTCCACTTGATGTTTAAGGCCTTATTTTAGATGCCACGATGAATTTCAGTAACAATTTAACATGTCCCAGACAAACAGCAGTACTCAAAAGGCTGAAACTTTATGTGCAAAATGACTATCCTGTGCAAATTCTTTTTCTACACCATTCAAACAACTCTAAGAATTGATGAGTTCTGCAAGAATTGCATTAAAAAGATTGGCAATGTTGAGAGTTTTATTATGGGAAGAGTATTATTTGCAATGGTGAAAGGACTGTATTGTTATGCTAGCAGCTGCTACCTAACCCCTTTTATTAACGAGTGAATGCTAGGTAGGGTAGTACCCACACCATTCAAACAACTCTAAGAATTGATAAGTTCTGCAAGAATTGCATTAAAAAGATTGGCAATGTTGAGAGTTTTGTTATGGGAAGAGTATTATTTGCAATGGTGAAAGGACTGTATTGTTATGCTAGCAGCTGCTACCTAACCCCTTTTATTAACGAGTGAATGCTAGGTAGGGTAGTACCCACACCATTCAAACAACTCTAAGAATTGATAAGTTCTGCAAGAATTGCATTAAAAAGATTGGCAATGTTGAAAGTTTTGTTATGGGAAGAGTATTGTTTGCAATGGTGAAAGGACTGTATTGTTATGCTAGCAGCTGCTACCTAACTCCTTTTATTAACGAGTGAATGCTAGGTAGGGTAGTACCCCCCCCCCCCAGTACAACTGGTGCATATTGACCCTTTGCCTAACTATTGAATTAGCCATGCCATTTGCTTCTCTGTGAGTTCATAGCCATGTTACTCATAGCTCCTAGCAGGTTGTGTAGCTTGTTCCAGAGTATGACAATGCTGCCAGGTTCCTTTAGTATCATTCTTAAGCCATCCCACCACTGTTCTAGAGTTTCCTACCACTATGTTGTGCAGGTTTAGCCTTTTTCATATCCTTTATCCCCTGGAGGACAGCATGCAATTTAGCCCTTGTAGGGTCTTCTTTGCTTATTGGTCCTTGTACGTCTTGAAGTTACTTGCTTGAACTTTGTGGTTTGTTTTGTTGTTCCTGTTGAGTAACTATGTAGCACCATATGCCTTGACATATTTCCACCTGAATTATACAGGACTCCTTTTAGGCTTTTATTGACTCTTGGCAGATGCAGCTATAGGAATTTCTAGCTTGGAGTCACATGTAAAAAGAAAAAAAAAAAAGAACACCAAAGGAGAATAAGCAGCTTCATAACGGACAGACCTCTGACTTCTTTTTGTACTCGTTATCCATGCAAAATGGTTGAGTTCATTTTGGCACCTTGGCCTTTTGATCGGGGACAAATATAACTCCATTGTAGATGCTTGGTGCTTCTACATGCTACATCTTTTGAATGCTAATAAACAAGGAAAAGAAAACCTCCCTACGTTTTAAATTTCTAGTCTTGCTACTGGTGTACAAACTATAATTAAAAAGAAAGGTAATTTATTGACTAACGTATCCTCCATATTACCTATCAATTCTCAATTGTGAACTAAACTTTTTTCAGCAAGAAATTGTTGTATGGTTTTGAACCATTTAGAAGTGAGGTATCGTAGTCATGCAACTCATAAAAAAGGGAAGTAGGCATGCGGTTTCCTTCTGCAAAACTTCCTATATTGTTGTGTTTCTCTTTCCGTGGCTGGTTTCAGTGGTTTGTTTTGGGACTTGGGTTCTAGGAGGGCTTGAGGGACCATGAAGCTGTTGCCATTTTGGTCCTTGTACAGAGATTCTTGAGGGTGTTTTCTTAGACCCATTAGGGTTGACTGCAAAATTTGAGGTGCAAAATTTCATGCCAAGTTCTGTCACGCTTTTTTTTTTCAATGGTATTTTTCACACCTCATCCTCTGTGGTGTTTTTGGTAGAAGCAGTATGGTTGGATCCTACTCCTTAAAGGTATTTCTGTTGGGACTTGGGAGTGATACCCCTAAAGATAAATAATTGTGAGGTCCTTCAAAGGAGAAGGGCCTGCTTGGAAAGTGTCACACCCATACTTGCTTTTTGTGCAAGGCAAGTTTTGGAACCACTCACCACTTGTTAATATCCTGCTCATTTGTGACTGTGATTTGGAATATCTTTTCTCTATTTGGTGTCGGGTGGACTCTCCTGCAAGAGGTTGAGATCTTATTCCAATCATTTCTCTTCTCCCCAAGAACAAGAGAAAAGATATTATAGAAATGTATGTGGGCAGCCATTCTTTGGTTGGTTTTGGCTGCCAGGATCTTTTCTGACAAGATTCCAAGTTCCAAACTGCTGAGGCCTTGATTGAGCTTATCTCTGTGTGAGCTTTCTATTGAAAAGCTTATCTCATTGAGAATTAGCCATTAGGTAAGCTCTCCACGGATGATATTCTTAGGTGGTGACAAGTAGTGGGGTTGTCATCAACCAGATGGGGCTGTATTGTTTAATGAATTGTCACTCCACCTTTGAATCAAATGAAGCCAAATTTTGATGGTTCCAGTCTTGTAAAAGCAGGCAATTTAGGCATTAGTGGTTCATTGCGAGATTGCAAAGGGGGTGGTTGTACTGATGGTGTATTCAGGCTCCATTTGGGTTGAAGATTCAATGTAGGCAGGAATGTTACCCATCTTTCATGTCTAAGACTAAGCAGGTCCTTGAGTTGTGTGAAAATTACAGTGGAAGGAGACTTGCAGATAGTCACTAACTGTTTTTTTTTTTTTTTTTTTTGGGATAGATGAAGAGAAATTTATTAATAGTCAAATGATAAAATAATAGAATGAGTCTTCCTGATGATAGGTGCAAGATGCGAGTTTGCGACCTTAGTTTCTAATCAGATTACAATTGAACCCAGAACATATGCTGCCCATGCACCCCTTGCTTAGCTAAGTAGTCAGCTATCCCATTAGCTGCCTATGCACCCCTTAATAGTGGAGATGCTGGCTCTTGGTCTACTGGCACCAGATCAGGGATCTAAATCTTTGGTTTCAAGTCTGGAGGGCAGTATTTGCTTGGTTCCTAGATCAGCAAATAACCTCAATGACATAGACACTGTGTATTAGGGTGTGTATCCCCTGAGGTAATATCCTGGATACTGTCGTGTGTGTGTGTGTTTAATACTGACACTGTTGTATGTGAGGGAAAAGTAACTGAGGGCTAGCTCTTCTCTTTCAGAAAGGTTCTAATACCCCTTTTGTTGTAATGTTGTCTTGTACGGTGGTACTTCTATATATTTTATTTTCCAAAAATTAATTGGGAAAGTGAGATGCGAACCATTGTCTACTGTATCTTTTTTTTTTTTGATGAATAACTGATTACTTCATTGCATTTAAAGGAAAGTGAGAGAGAGACAAGCTCTCTTATCTCTCCCCTTTAACTTTAGTTATAATTACAATTACATTTGTGCCCAAAATGTTTGAATTCTTCCAACCCCTTGCTTGGCTAGCGCATCCACCATTGAATTAGCTATTCTTTTCACCCACTGTATTCTCAATTCCATGTCCTTTGTGATCCATCTGAATTTTTTCTTATCATTATTGTACTTCCACATCCTACTTTCCTCATCCAGTAGCCAAGCCACTGCTAGTTTGGAATCCCCTTCAATGATTAGCTTTCTAGCATTCATGGTTGTAGCCCTTTGCACCCCTTCCATAACTGCCATTACTTCCGCTCTTAGTGAGTCTCCTTCACCTGCTGGGCCTGAGAATAATGCACACACTTTACCCTCCTCATCCCTGAATACACCTCCAATTCCTGACCTTCCTGGGTTTCCCATGCTACTTCCGTCAAAGTTAAGCTTTATAAATCCTCTTTCAGGAGGGGTCCAGATAGGAATAACAGGCTGTTTATTGACATTTGAGTCTGCCACTATCTTCCAGTTTGTAATGATATCATCAATGGATATATGTGAGAAGTTTCCTAAGGATTTCAGCCAATGAGCCACTCTAATCAGTATTGATTCAATCATGGCCTCTTTTGTTCTCTCCTTTTCTCTAAAAATTCTTGCATTTCTTTCTTCCCACACTACCCAGATTATTGCCGCCCTAGCACGCTTCCACATGATGTTACCTATCTTCTTTGGCCATAGACAGGAAGTTGGATCAAAGAGACTTTTGATGTCAGCTGGAGGTGTCCACTTGCATTCAAATAAGGAAAAAAGCCATTCCCAAATACCAGCAGCAAACGAACAAGTAATAAACAAATGAAAACAAGTCTCACTATTAGCCTTACAAAGAAGACACCAGTGTGGGGAAAGGCACCACTTTTTCCTCTTCCCTTGTAGCTAGTCAAAAGTATTTATTCTTTCATGTACAACTTCCCAACAAAAAGCCGCAATCCTAGGTGGGATAGGCTTGCACCATACCTTCTTAATAGGAAAAGATTGAGGGGGACTAAGGGGAGGTTGGGTTAACACTTTGAAGGAGTTACAGGAAAACAAGCCCGAAGAGGAAGGTGTCCAAATTCTTTCATCAGACTTATCAGGATCAAGGAAAGTTCCTTCAAGGTTTTGGATTAAAGAGAGTACACAATCAATTTCTGAATCCCTTAATCCCCTTCTAAAGCCAAAGTTCTAATCAAAACCATTGATTGAGTTTGAAGGGACTAAGAAGGTTGAAATGGGCTCACTCTTGAAACATGATAAGGAATACAAAGAGGGGTATAAGTCTTTCAAAGGGGAGTTCTCATACCGGGTTTGATCCCAAAATTTGATTAAGTTGCCAGAATTGAGTTCATACCTTACAAGAGGCAAGAAACAAGGAAGAATTACTTGTATGGCCTTCCAAGGTGAAGCTTTGGTAGCCCGTTGCAGTAATCCAGCGTCCCGTCCGTTGTCCAATAGCCTGTGTGCTCACCACCACCCTTGCCAATAGTTTCTCTCTTTCTTTTGGCATTCTCCATAGCCACTTCCCTAGTAGAGATAAATTTCTTTTTTGGATATTTTCTATTCCAAGACCTCCATACTTTTTATCTCTACTGACTAACTCCCAGCACACCTTGTGATCTCTTTTCTCTTCTCCTGGCTCCCATAAGAAGTCCCTTATTAATTTCTCAATGCTCTTGCTTACTCCTGCCGGCATTTTGAAGACTGACATATAGTACACAGGGAGGTTTGCTAGGTTCGACTTTATTAGGGTTATCCTACCTCATAGGGAAATGTAGCCATTTTTCCAACACGCCAGTTTCTTCGTCACCTTTTCTACAATTGGATTCCAAAAGCTTGAGTCCTTCGAGTTGGCTCCTAAGGGTAAACCTAGGTAACTTAAAGGCCATTGAGAGACATTGCAACCCAAGATTTCAGCACAAACTTCTAACTCTCTATCCTCAATGTTTACACCTGCAATGCAACTCTTCTCGAAATTGACTTTTAATTTGGATAACCACTCTGTTGTATCTTCGATTGGCTGGATAACCACTCAGGTGTAATTTTTGTTTTCACATATTAATACAATTAATAAGATTTTCTTGCTGATAGAAAAAAAGGGAAATTGAGATGCTGATTCTAGAGGATGGGTAACAGAGAGGTATAACTTGCAAACAGAATGAGAGGATTTATAAAAGTAAAATGGTTCAACTACTTAAATTTTAGGGGGATGCTTTTCCATTAGTAGTGTTGAAGTTTGACCTGCCCTAGAATTCTGTCTTGTTCGTTGACTGTAAAGTAAAGTAAACAGCAAGAAGTAGGAGAGGAAAGAAGAAGAGAGAAAAGAGAGGAAAGAGAGAAAGGCTGGTTCGAATTAGAGAAAAAGTCATCCCTAGATTCGGCCAGACCTGTTATTATATTATTAACTTATTGGAANNATCCCTAGATTCGGCCAGACCTGTTATTATATTATTAACTTATTGGAAAAGACTTAAGTGCCCKTHTTTAAGTAAGAGGCACTCGAACTAACATAACAGTACACATCAACATTCTCAACAAGTACAAAGACCGAAATACCCCTTCACTAACACCACTAACAAGTAGAAAAAGGGAATAGATAAGCTTTGGATCATATTGATAAAGGTATATGTGTAATGTAATGGCATCTTTGGGCATGACCCATGGGATTGATTGACTGACATTCTGACTTTTTAATTAAAACAAATGCAGAATTGAGTGGGGCATGAACTGAATATAAATCTGCAAGCAACTTGAACAAAAAAGGAAGTGCATACATGCTCTTAGGCTTTTCTCTTCCCAGACACACCTTTTTCATGCTTCACCAAAAATACTAGTTTGCAATTCTTTCAAATCGTAGGCTTCTAAGTCCACTAGAATTGAATTGCAGAGTGTAAACTGTTTCCTTCTTTCCCCTCGTAAACTACAAAATTCAAGATCTTGGTTTTGGTTTTAGTGCCTTGTTTATCATAACTAAAGATTTACTATGGTAGCATGACCTTATTTACTTCCATCTTTTTTTGTCTTCTTAAAAAGAAAGTATACTTTTATGTCTTCTTAAGTGACATTTTCTATATTTATGTTGTTAATTGTTATTTCTGTATTGTCAATCACAATTTTGGGTTCTCCTGTCAACTTGCAGTTCAATGCATTAAAGATTGCAGAAGTAGATGAGTTGGTGTTAAAAAATTGGAGGTCTCAGGGTACAAAAAATGGCATGTCTGTGCTTGATGATCATGAGATTCTCTTCCCAATGGTTCAGGTTGGGACTCACTGTTCGAAATGGATCACTGTCAAAAATCCAAGTAAAGAACCTGTAGTAATGCAGCTTATTCTGAACTCTGTGACTGTCATTGATCAATGCAAGACTTCTGATATGTTCTTACAACCCTCATTCTCATTTAGTTTGGTTCTGAACAGCTCTACTGCACCAACAAAGTATGGGTTCTCAATAACAGAGACTGCAGTAACGGAGGCCTATGTCCATCCTAATGGCACGGCTCTTTTTGGGCCAATTGTCTTTTACCCTTCACATCGATGTCTCTGGAGAAGTTCAGCACTGATAAGGAACAATCTTTCAGGTGTAGAGTGGTTGCCTCTACGGGGATTTGGAGGATCAGTTTCGTTGGTCCTGATTGAGGGGTCTAAGCCTGTTCAGAGCCTTGAGTTCAACCTAAACATGCCAATTCCTCTCAATATATCTCCGCAGTCTTTATTTCACAAGGATGACACTAGTTCCATCTGTTCTCAGCCATTGGTGAAAGAGTTATTTGCCAAAAACATAGGGGATCTGCCACTAGTAGTAAAAAGAATTGAAGTTTCAGGAACAGATTGTCAGTTGGATGGGTTTATGGTACATACTTGTAAAGGTTTTGCTCTTGAACCAGGGGAGTCAACAAGGCTTCTGATCTCATTTGAAACAGACTTTACTGCTGCAGTGGTTCACAGAGATCTTGAGCTGGCCTTAGCCACTGGTATATTTGTGATCCCCATGAAAGCAAGTCTTCCAGTGGATGTCTTCAATCTCTGTAGGAGGTCATTGTTACATATGCTGCTGATAAAATTCTCTGTGCTCTTTGTTGCAGCTTCTTTATTGTTTCTTATCTTCTGCTGCATCTTTCCTCAACCAATGTCTTTGGTTGCTGTTGATTGCTACTTGCTTAAGAGTGAAAAAACTTCCATCATTACTATTGGCAGGGCTGGAAAACCTTCTCGCAGTCATCATAATCAAAGAAACAATATATCTTCTATGTGTAGTAATGGGGACAATATGATCAGGTCAGTTAGGGAAGATGAAACCACAGATATGGCGTTTATTGGTAGATACTCTGATTGTCCAAGTGCAGAACAGGGACTAATTGCTTCACATACAAAACTGAAGCAGGGTAACCAAGAAAGGACTATCAATGTGTCAGAACCTCAAAAAGAAGCACTCTTGTTTTCATCATCTTCAGTGTCGAAATCTGCAGCATTTGTTGAGAGCTCTAGTTTGGTGGAATCACCACAAACTGGTAATCTCACAGTTAGGATTGAGAAAGAAAAGGGAAGACGACGAAGGAAGAAAAAACCAGCTGGTGTAGGTGCAGGATTAACGGGAGCTCTTGAGGTTTCAAGCAGTCAGAGTGGGAATTCTACACCTTCTTCACCCCTGTCTCCTGTCACATCCTTCACACCGAAAAGAGTATGGCCTCTATCTCCTGACACAGACAATGCAATTGAGAATAAGAGTTCATTTGCAAGATTGGCAGATCAGAGCCATGAGAAGGGACAAATCCCTGAAATTGCTAGAGATGATAGGTTGTTGGAGCCTGAGGTTTCTTCTAAGTCTGGAAGCAGAAATTGTTTACTTTCTGGCCCTGAGCAATCATCTGTGCTAAGAAAAGTGACAAGCAAACCCGTGCTATTGCCATCTGCCACTTTTCCAAGTTCAGGACGGCGTGCACCTTATGCCACAAGCAATCCTTCATTTTTGGCTTCAACCTCTGCAATTTCCCCTGATGCTCGTGCTCCAGGATCCAAACCTATGAAGGAGAAGACGGCAAAATTAGAGAAGACTGGATCTGTGGATGAGTTCAGATATGACATATGGGGGAACCATTTTTCTGGATTTCATCTGATGGGTAGGACAAAGGATGTTTCAACAATGATCTCCAGTGCTTCTGATGGCAGCTCTGATAGCTTTTTTGTTAGGGGCCCACAGATCCTTGCGAGGAAATCTCAAACAAGATCAGAATCTCTTTCTCCTAAATTATCTAATTGTGCTGCAAGTTGCCATCACCTAAAGGGTTAATTATAAATGTTTAGTAATTATTAGTTTTTAAATTTGTCCTCCTATTTCTAATTTATATCCATGTTCATAGAAGACACACACACAAAAGGGAAAAAAAGAGCACGCATACACACACCACCAGCACCACAAAGTTTTTCATGTTTGATGGCAAAAAATGAATGTGTCAACTTGCTTCACCCCGATCCATTTTTTTAACCAGTTCACTTCAAAGTATTATAACACTTATTTTCTTCTTGTATATGTTGGAAATTGGAAAAATATTTTCTCACCATTTACAACCTAGTTGCTGCTAAAGTCATTGCCCCGCTTTTGACAATTTTTTATTCCTAGTTATGATATACCCAGATATGGATAACGACTTGAACAGGGATACAGGTATGGAATAGGGGTGATCATGGGCCAGTCCTTACCACGCCTGCACCCTAGGCTTGAAACATAAGAATAGTTTTTACTTATCAAAACATACATACATATATATATGGATAGTTTTGTTAAAATATCTCATTTGTGTATGATTTCTCAAAACTTCTCTCCCTAAATTTAATTACATTTGTAATATACACACATTTTTGTGTATGATTTTGTTAGAACTTTCTGTTTTATATTTTTTTAAAGTGTTTAATGCTTCTACCGAGTATATCTGGTAGTGTCCATGCAATGTCTGATGCTTCATTTGGTGCATATTGTATCTGATACATAGAAGTATCTAGGTATCATAATATTGGGAGTAGACAAGTTCTGATCAATATTTTCTAATTTTCTATTTACTTCTGCACTTCAATATGGTAGGGGCATTTTAATAATTTCACATGTTATATGTGCACCATAAGTTTATTATTTTGATATATCTAGTCGAAATTTGGTTGAGTTAAAATTCAAAACCCACAAATTCTAGTAGCCAGCAATTATAGTCATCAACAACTCACAAATTCATCGAAAAGAATGACCCCCCGAATTGGTTAAGAACTCGTCTTTGCACTCTTAACACAATTCGGGAGAAATTGTAATATTTGTATCTCTTCAATGAATTAATGTCTGTTCTTGCCAAAAAAAGCATTGTAAGAGTCATTCTACATCACTAAAGGATTGAAATTGATCCATGTTTTCCTTTTATCGTCATCATCTAAGCCTTGTTATGTTGGGTCGGCTATAAGAATTCTTTTTCGCCATTCCCTTCTATTCAATGCCTTTCTTTAATGTACATTAATAAATGAAAATATTCTTTTGTAGTCATTTTTGTCCTTCGGTGTGAAACCACATCCATTAGCTCTTATATCATGTTAAACTTCATCGTAGAACCATACATTGAAACCTATTTTCCAAATTTGTGTTCTTTACAAAATGAAGTGTCTTTTTGTCCAAGATGTACTCCACATCCTACCAAAAGTTTTCACAGTTGTGGAATAAATTTACGATTCTTGAGTTTAATCTCTCAGATCCTTCGTAACCAAGTGAATCCTACCTTTAGTACTTTAACTCTCCCCCAACCCTAATCTAACCAATTATTCGGATTGGACATCTCTCTCTCTCTCGTGCGCACACGTGTTGGCTGGAACCAAAAGGTTATTTGGAAATCAGTTGTTGAACAGGAGATGGTGCTTTGCTCTTGAATCAACGTCTGATTGATCGTCAGGTTATACTTTATAAAAGTCACGATTTACAATAGAAAAAGCATGTGCAGCGTCTGGAAAAATAGAAATTGGTGCTAGGAAGAGGCCTTGTCAGTTATTGTGCTTTACTGCTCCCCAGACCAGTTTTGAAAAGCGATGGCAGTGGTAGGATTCTTTGCAAAGAACAATATACGTACGGGCTAACGTATATTCTTTTCCATCCCTCGCGCTGCAAATTGATCTACTTGATTCAATAGTCTCCTGATTTTGTCTCGGGGATAAACAAAACGCAGAGATTGCAAGGAATTTTCAACGGCGATAAATCATTCATTTGGTACATGATTACATACACCCCCGTTATATTACTTCTTTCTCTTAACCTCGGCCTCTGGTAAAACCGTAAAAGACACCCAATTTCATCAAACCGCGATCCGCAAGGAAACTTCACGCTTAAATTCTCATCACAACCTCTATTTGGAACTCAAATACATTTGCATTAGTCTTTTGGAATGTTCTCTTTCTTCAATCTCTGAAATGATTTTTTTTTTCCCTCATCCCTTAGGCTGTGTTTGGTTGCAGTGCAAATAGTTGCAAAACTATGGCAATGCAAATGGTTTGGGTGTAAATTCAAATATATTTTTGTTTTAAATTTAACCTTATTTTGTTTGATTGTACTAAAAATGAAGTAAAATAACTGAAGCAAAATAAAGCATAACCCAAAACAAAATTAAACCAAAATTTTCATTCTTTTTCATTTGAGTTGCACTCATGCATTTGTGCTAGTGCAAATAAAATTGCACTGCAACCAAACGCAGCCTTATAAAAACAAACGCAGGTGTTTTTTCCCAACCATCGCCAAAGGATTATTCACTCATCGGCAGGGAATGAAGACTGGGTTTTGATGGTGTTAAGACACGTATAGTTTTATGACTTTATCCTATGAAGATACTGTTGTGATAGTAATTCGGTTTTTGAATGCGATAATCCCTTATTTTGCCCATCACAAATGCACAATTATAATCCCATGAGATCCACATCCTGCACCTTCTCGAGTTCTCTGGGTTCTGTAAGTCATCTCAAACAAAACTATTTTAACGAACGACCAACAATCAGATCTTCTTGAGCTGTATTCAAGCCTTTACCTCCCCTTCTTCTATAAACCTTTTTAAAACTTTAAGGATATTGCACCAACATTCGGATTTTGATCTGTATTCAAGCCTTTACCTCCCCTTTTTTATACACCTTTTTAAAACGTAAACAGGATTTTGGACCAACAATCAGATCTTCTTGAGCTGTATTCAATCGAGAGAAGACTTTGGTAATATAGATCAAACAATAATTTTTTACACTCCTTACGCTTCTGAAGGTGCTAACTTGTCATCTAAACTAGGGATGTCAATGGACTGGATACTGGCCCAATCCGATTAGGTCCAATATAGGTTCATTACAGATGGACCAGGTCCAATTCAATCCAATAAATATTTTGGACTGGACTGGTTCAATTCAATGTCTTATTTGACCATCCAGCCTGTTCAAATTGATTTTACTTCGGATTGTGTCCAATCCAAACCTGGTCCACTGATACCCCTACCCTATTCTTATCCTCTGGCAATGGACTGGATATGGGTTCAACCTGGCCTAGTTCAATATAAATCAATGATCAGGTCCAATCCAATCTAATAAATACTTTGGACCATTAAGTCTGGAGCAATGTATTACTGGACCATCCAATCCATTCAAGTTGGTTTCGATTTGGATAGAGTCCAACCCAAACCTGGTCCACTGGACCCCTAATCTAAAAGTGCAACTTGGTGAGGGTTGAATTGAGCATTTGTTACAATTTGAATAGGTGCAGCGGCCTATAGGCCCGATGCAATATAACTTATGGCAGAAGCTTGTTTCCCTATAAAATATTTTCTTTCATGCTTTTTTTTTTTGTTTTTTTTGTTTTTTTT